AGAGAGAGAGAGAGAGAGAGAGAGAGAGAGAGAGAGAGAGAGAGAGAGAGAGAGATGGTCAGACCTTGAGTCAGAACTAGTGTAAGTTGACATGAAATTCAATGAAAATCAATTGACGATTTTTTGACAATTATCACGTTATATTATTATTTACAATCTTACCATAAAGTGGCATAAACCTTTTCAATCAAGGCCTTGCAAGAAGCTGAGCATGACGGATTGGGAAGAAAAAGGAGCACCCCCAACAGGGAACGGTCCCTAGTCCAGCTTGACAAAGATCCTTCTCCTTGTACGTACTCACCTCCTTTACGGTGGACGCTTGGATGTTATTGCTGTCTGCATGTCGGTTAACTCGCTCAAGCTCCACGAGTACCGGTCTCTGTAAATCATGAGCAGCACACGAAAAGAGATTTCATAAATCTTTTATGTCAAGCAATCACCAACCTCATCTCCAAAAATGCTCGAATCGAAACCTCAAGCGGAAGCAAAATTCAATATGGTGTCATGACAAGCGTTATCACAAACCATTCCCTCTCTCTCTCTCTCTCTCTCTCTCTCTCTCTCTCTCTCTCTCTCTCTCTCTCTCTCTCTCTCTCGCGTCTTCCATCTTTCCCTCTCTCCCCCCTCCCTCTCTCTCTGAATCCACTGTATTGTGTCATTGTGTCTAACGTGACTGCGACAGACTGCTTCATTGGACTTTCACCAACTGATCAGGAGGCTGAACCTTTAAATGGTCTGTCCAGAATGCATTTGACTGGTGTATTCAGACACACCACGTCATCCAGAGTTATCGGCTTTACTCACATCAACCTTGGAAGGGGTGTTTGCTCATACCAGCACACCTAGCAAACCTGGGGGTGTGAAAAAAAAAAAAAAAAAAAAAAAAAAAACCTTGGAAGCCTAGCTGATCTTGAAACGTTCAAAATTCAAATCCCTGACACCTGCAAAACTAGTCAATGACAGTTGTAATCCTATTCAAAAAAAAAAAAAAAAAAAAAAAAAAAAAAAAAAAAAAAAAAAAAAAAAAAAAAAAAAAAAAAGCCTACTCCATCAGAGTCCACACGTACGCGGTAAGCTTGTCATAGGCTGTCACCAGAACAACCCCTTTTCCACCCAGATCAGTAGATCCACAATTGAGATTTGAAACGGTGTTGTCTTAACGTACAATCTTCAATCAGGTTGCACATGACATTTTAAATGATTGCTTTTTTTTTTTTTTTTCCCCAAAAAGAGCCCTTGTGTAAGCCCTCGATCCCGGCGGTGCTTAGTGAACCGTCGGGATTGAGGAGGGCTTATCTGCCGTGCTGCTACATCTATTGGTGGGGAGCGGCACCTGCTGGAAACCGGTTTAAGCGTCCCATTGATACATCTTTTTTTTTATATCCGTTCCAGCATATAAATGATTGTGATGTTTTGATAGTTGTTTTTTTCTTTTTTGACGAAACCGCCATTCTTCGTTGCCACATTCTGAGAGGTGCAAGGTCCACCATGTTGGTGGACTACAGCGTGGAATGCATACACAGTGCTACACACCCGTTTGCTTTTCAGCACACGGGCAACTTACATCTTGTCTGTTCTCTTAGTGATGCTCATTTGTATGCACTTTGTGGTTCCGCACAAGGGGAGGAAGGAGGGGAAGGGTGGGTAGAGAAGGGGGGGAGGGAAGAGTAGGAAAGTGGAGTGAGGAAGAAACAGAATGGGAAAGACAAACCTCATAGGGTACTCGATACTCACCAGCAGAACGGACTGCTAGAGACCAACACAAGAGGCTACCCTTCTTCCCCCGAACATAACGCATATGTGTTTCACTGCAAGATCTGGTCCGCAACTCCTCGCGGTGGCGGCTATAACCTTTCACTACAGGTGCTTCCTGTGAGAGTCTGTTCTCTACCTCAGGCTGCTGTGTCTGTTCCTCATCCCGGAAGGATGGAGAGGGTCCAATTATTGGTGTAGTTGGAGGGTGTCCAGCGTTACATATGGGACATGACCAGAGAGGATGCGGTGGGTGATGGCATCAGGGATAGTCCATGCAGTAGTGACACATACTCTCCATGTCACCTTCCATCAAACACTGGCGGCACACGGCATGCAACTGACATGCCAGCAGGAAAGCAGGCTCAGGTTCGCAGTTATTCAAGCATGGCATGTAAGGCCACAACGGCCCATTAGGCAACTAGTGAGAGAGAGAGAGAGAGAGAGAGAGAGAGAGAGAGAGAGAGAGAGAGAGAGAGAGAGAGAGAGAGAGAGAGAGAGAGAGAGAGAGAGAG